TTCATTCTAGAATGAAAGAGGCATAATTTATATTTATTTCATAGTTTATTATGGAGGTTACGAGATTGGTCAAATCTACCAAACCCATACAGAGATTCATTACTGAAAATAACAAATAAAACATAAAGTTTTTTCATAAGAAATGTTTGATAACCATCTGGACATTATAAAGATTTTGCATGTGAAATTTGAAAATTTTCTGATGCATAAAAGTATTTTTAATCTTAAAATGAAAACTACTTTGCATGTTAGATAGGCAACATGCAAAAAGAAAAAAAGGCACGTGAAAAACATTGCTTTACAAACCTTAAGATATTGATATTTTGCATATGAAAAAATTATAATGTTTAAAGATAATCTGTCAAATTTTGTTAACAATCGCTTACTAATTTAAAAGTTATAGCATGAAAACAATAACAAGCACATAATGGTTATGAGGTCGGTCCCAGGGACCGAGCCTGTGCTGAAAGAGTTAAGAAAATTGTTTAAAAAAATAAGTTATGCAAAGTTCAGCAGAAAGATTTAATAACCTATTATTTCATTTTGTATGTACCATTGTCACTGTTATATGATAAATAAAAACAATAACTTGTTTCAGCATATGATATTCTGAAGTATTTGAAAGTAAATATATAGTAGGAAGTACCATAATGTGAATTTTTTAACATGTTATATAATTTATTCCAATCTGGTTCAAAACTGTTGTTTCAAACTTTGTCATTTTTAAGGAATATTTTGTGATTTTATATCTTTTTAAATTTGCAAGTACCTGATTTTTTATATTATCTTTTGATCCATTTCTAGACATTCAAGATTAGTAAATACTTTATAGAGACTGAACTTAATTGGCTAATTTCAATGTTGACTGGCTTTTCCAACTACATTGATCCCCAAAACTTATCCCTAAATGCAATGGGCATGTATGTTACGGACCATGCAGGTGCTGAACGTAAAGCCCTAACTGTGTTGACTATGTGGGCTGTCTGTACGAATAAACCAAAATTGGCTGAAATCTTGTGGAGACATTCAGACCAGCCAATTCACCTTGGTCTGGTTGTTTCTATGATGTTTGAAAGGCTAGGAAACTATGTCAGTGAGTCTGGACTGAGAACAGAGATCAGAAGATTACAAAAGTAAGTACAAAAGGAAATATTGTTTGTGCATAAAATTTGCCAAAAAAAAACCTTAACCGACATAAATAATTGGACAATTTAATTTACAAGTCAGTAATTGAGGGTGTGTGTGTGTATGAATGTGTCTCATTTGTATGATGGATTAGCCTGTCATTGGTAAAGAAGCTACTGATCTTACAGAACTTTCAGTGACAACAGCTACGTAATGATTTGAGTGAAATAATATATATATAATGAAAGGTAGAATTTGTGTAAATTTTAATATTTAAATACAGAGTTAGATTTAAAAGTGCCTACATGTGAGCAGAACTCCATTAGCCTTGGGAATCCACACTCACCTAAACTCAAAATTTGATAACCCTGCACATTGAACTAGTGGATTTTTTTACACATTTAGGACTTGAAAAACTAAAATAATTCATGTTTACCACTATTGTATTGGTTAGGTTTGTTTTTATTCTGATTATTGAATATCATTAATAATTTTTGTTTTTTGGGGGATAGAAATTTTGCTGACAAAGCTACTGGAGTTCTAGATGCTAGTTACAAAGAAGCTACGTGTCGAGCGTATGATGTTCTAAACGAAGAAAGCCCCGAGTGGGGATACAAAACGGCAGTGGAACTTGCTGCAGATGCTGGAATAAGAATATTTCTCTCTCATCCATGTTGTCAGAAGTGGCTGACTAACCTGTTTTTTGGAAACATCCGTATTCGAGAGCTTACGTGGGGAGTCGTGACCTTTCCAAAATGGCTTAAGGTATTAAACTTCTAACTCTAATACTTTTATATGAGTTCTAATATTTATATTTGAATGATATTTTTATTTGATTACTACAAGGAGAATCAATCTGTAAAAAATATTTGAAATATCTTCAGTACACTAAATTTATGTACTAGAAACAACTCGTATATTATGTTAATTTTCTAATTAGATTTCTTAATGACATTTAAATGGGTACTATGTTCCTGACTGTTGTACACTTTTTTCATGTTGTTATATGTAAGAATTGATATGGAATTCAGCTGGCACAAAGTGCAACTAATCATCGGATGTTTTTTTTTAAGCTATAAACAACCTAGGTTGGCACATAGTCAAAGTCTGTAATCTAGAAATTGGAGAGAGAAAGGGAATGATTTCGTTTAGTTTTAAAGTGACCATCATCTGGAGTGGGAAAAGTAAGAGAATTAATTAAGGAACTTGGATCCTCTTGTCTTTGAGTCCTTTAATATAACATGCTTTAGACAAATTGACATGACATATGTGTCAGAATAAGTAGAAACTGTCTTTTTGTATGAGCTCACTAAAAATGAAAAAGCTCTTTAGTTAACAAATATTTTTATTGATGAAAGTGTTTGTTTTTGCAGGTGATTTTGTGTGCTTTTCTGGTTTTCCCAATGTATATGTGGGTGAGATTCAAATTGGACCCAAGAGACTCTTGGAATGCTTTTAACAATATATCAGGTAGAAAGATTTAAATTTTACTGGAAGTGATTTTCTGGTATTTCTGTGTACTTGATATTACAATATAAAAATTTATGAGCTTCTGAAAAAAAAAAAGGCATCATCAGTTTCCAGCTTTTTTTTAACTGAGGCCAAGTATAGAATAGATATGGAATTAGATTAATGGATAGCATTAGCATGGGGGGATCAACATTTCAGGGGTTGCCCCCCTTCTTGCACTTGGCATGGGTATCATCGACATATTGAATATACGAGAGAGAATAGGGGGTTCCCTCAAAATGCGGTTTAGACGAGAACTGGTAAGACATTTAAGAAAAAAATTAACACTTCAGTTCTGGAACATAAAATGAAACCTCTGATGTCATGACTTAAACCATTGTATGGGGGAAGGGAGTGAGTGATTGCTGCCTCGTATGCATGAGGGAGGCCATAGTCTGGATACAAGGAGGGGAGAAGGGAGAAGAAGAATTCATGGTTTTTTGTGTACGCAACAGAAGAATAGTAACAAAGTCATAATTTAATATTAAATACATTGTAATGAAGACAACTCAAACTTAATCATTTATATTATGTTAACAAATATGGCTAAGTTAGTTATTGCAGTATAGTTTGATAGACTGATCCTTTAGTTAGAAATATTTAGAGACCCAAGAAAAATATATAAATGTGTAATTAAAAAAAATAAAAAGAGCAAGAAAAGGCCTAAGTACAATATAGTTTTCAATCTAAACCAATTAAAACTTACATAAAAACCATCATGATTACTTCACATTGACATTAATTTATTTGAGGAATATATTTTAGATATCAGAGTCGTGGGAGG